CCGCCGCTCGGTCTCGCCGTCGCTCGGCGAGTGTCGTCTCCTTGGGTTCTGGTGAAGGCGGTGGTCGGCATGTGCGGCCTTAGGGTCAGCTTCGACCCCATTGGCCTGGTCAGGGCTCCGGACCAGGATGCCCTGAAGAGAGATGCTGCATGCTGGCGAGGCGCTCATGGCATCAGTCTCCTCCTCCTGTCGCCTCCTCCTCCTCCTCCTCCTCCTCCTCCTCCTCCTCCTTCTCCTCACCCTTCCTCTTCGCTTCTCATCATCCTCTTCCTCCTCCTCCTCCTCCTCCTCTCCTCCTACTCCTCCCTCATATCCTTCTCCTCCTCCTCCGCCTCCTCCTCCTCCTCCTCCTCCGCCCCCCCCTCCTCCTCCTGCTCCTCTCTCCTCCTCCTCCTCCTCCTCCTCCTCCTCGTTATCCCCGATCGCGAAGGACCAGCATTCAGGCCCGAGACGCGCCGTCGCATCCCCCCCTCGGACGGGACCCGTACCCGCGGAGGCCGCCAGGGGCCATCGGCGCTGGGTGGCCCCGTCTCAGGCAGTCTTTTGCGTATATTGCGGGCTCTTTTCCACTGGCACGGCAGGTCGCCTTTTAAGCGGATTGCCTTTCGGGCGATGTGGGACATCGTCTTTTCAGAAAGGGCCCAGCGGAGCCGCAAACAGCTTTTGGCGGGATAGCACCCCGCGGATGAGGGGCGGTCGGGTTCGCGCCGGATCCCTGCCCCGCGTCCTCTCCTGGCCGCTGACCCTGGGAGCCACTGGGCCACAGCTCTCGCAGGGCCACGCTTCTGGGGAGGGAGAGCGCTGCGCAGCGCGAGAGAGGAGCAGCTCCCTCGCGTGCTCCCTGCGACCTGCTCTCGCTCCTCCTCTGCGTCCCCCCCCCCCCCTTCTCATGTCTGCCTGCGCCCCGCCCCGCGATCCTCCAGGTGGGGGGCCGGGCGGCTGTACCGATGCAGGGTGGCCACCTGTGGCTGCCCACTCCCATCGCGAGCGCGCCAGGCGCCCACTTGGAGCGCGGCGTCCGCCGAGGAGTGCGGTGTCCTCCTCCTCCTCCTCCTCCTCCTTCCTCAATCCTCCCCTCCTCTCCTCCTCCTCCCCTTTGGTTTTTTTTTTTTTTTTTTGTTTTCCTCCTCCTCCTCCCCCTCCTCCTCCTCCTCCTCCTCCTCCTCCTCCTCCTCAAGGTACGTTCACTCCTCCTCCTCCTCCTCCTCCTCGTCCTCCTCCTCGTCCTCCTCCTCCTCCCGAAAGCCCCGACTACCCAGAGGGCGCAGCGTAGTGGTCGACGACACGTACGTAAGGAGGACCCTTCGCCAGAGTGACCTCTGGTGCGTGCCCACTGGGTCGCCCTGCTCGCCGAGTGCGGTGCAACAGCAGCGCCCTGCGCGCTTGTGTGTTGGCCCCCGTGGCCCTCAAGAAGCCGCGCGCCAGAGGTCAATCTTACCCAGGGTCGCTCTTGCGTGCAGGCGAAAGGGGGGGGGGGAGCGGGGGGGGGGGCGGTGAATGGGAGTGCGGGGAGGACGGGTGCACCGCTCGTGCCGCAGAAGGGCGCTGGAAAGGGCCACCCAGGGCCCCAAGAGGGCGCCACGAAAGGTGCACGCTCGTCCCCCCCCCCCCATGACTCGCCTTCTCATGCATCAGCGCCCGAGAGACGCTGCTGTCTTTAGCCTTACCGTGTCTTGCCGTGTCTCCTCCCCCGCCTCCCCTCCCTCGTGGTTTCGATACGCCATCGTGCGCCCTTGGGATGTCGAGCGAAGTAGAGGGCCAGGCAAACCCAGACGAGGCCACGCGGCTCTTTGGGGGCTGATGCTTGTGCACCTGTCGCCGCTGTCGTGTGCTCATGGGAGGTCGAGCGGATTGGAGTGCCACGCGAACCCAGACGAGACCTCGCGGCTCCGTGGAGGGCTGCCAACTGTGCAATGGTCGCCGCTGTCGTGAGCTCCTGGGAGGTCCAGCGGCATGGGGGGGATGCTGCAGACGGGCGGCTCACAGCGGCGGTCCATGGGACCCGCAGAACGATGATGTCAGTAGCAGTCCTTCCCGACCCTGACGCGAAAACATGCGGTCCGAGTTGCGAAAGTACGTGCGTGAATGGCGGGCGCTGAATGTGGTCCGACATCGTCTGGCGAAGCGTTCCAGAGCATTGCAGCTCTCTCAATGCGTTATTGAATCGCTTCGCTCATTCCGCCGGCCCATACGGTCTCATGTCTGCCGTTTGCCCGAGGGCCTGGTGTCAATGCGGCGCTTTTTTTTTTTTTTGTTTTTTTTTTTTTTTTTTTTTTTTTTTTTTTCGTTTTTCTTTTTTTTGGGGGTTCATGGGGCCGCTTGGGGGACTCTTGGGGGCCTCCTGAGGGCCTCGTGGGGGCCTCTTGGGGCCTCTTAGGGGCCTCTTGGGGCCTCGTAGGGGCTTCTTAGGGCCGAGGGCGCGAAAATTTGTTTCGTGTTCCCTCTCTGGGGCCCCTTTGGGGGTGTTCTTGGGGCCCTCTTGGACCGTCTTGGAGGCTTCTTGGGCCGTCTTCGAGCCCTCTTGGGCCATCTTGGGGCCCTCTTGGGGGCCTCTTGGGCCCTCTTGGGGCGATCGTGGGGGCCTCTTGGGCCGTCTTGGGGCGTCGGGAAGCCGAAAAGGTGGAAGCTCCAAAATCTTTCAAAAACCTAAGGAAAAACAATGAATTTTGCCTCCGGGGGCCCTCTTGGGAGTGCTCTGGGAGGCCTCTTGGGGCGTCTGGGGGCTATCTTGGGCGTCTTGGAGCGATCTTGTGGCATGTCGGACCCCTCGTGTACCATCTTGGGGGCCTCTTGGGGGCCTCTTGGCCTTTCTTGGGGCTCTCGGGGACGTCTCGGAGCCCTGTTGGTGCGCTCATGGAGCGCTCCTGGAGCGCTCTGGGGGACTCCTCCCGGGACTCTCTCAGGACCTTGCCGGGGTACTTTTCGTCCGGGGACCCCCAGGGGCCGCCCCGCGCGCGCGAACTAGAGAATTCTTGACCAGTTACTGGAGATCTTAGCACGCCTCTGGCCCGTTGGGCCGGCGAATTACTGTGTATGGGGCGCCCATTTCGATAGCCGCCTCGCGTTGAGACAGGGTACGCACGTTTCTGTCTATTCCTGTCGGTGGGACCCAGAAACCTAGAGGTCTCGACCCCTTTCCCCGGGGCAGCTCTATGTTCCGGCTCATGGATGATGGCCCTGAGGCCCGAAAGCGGCATCGTGACACCGGAACAGGGGAAAGACGGCAGGATCGGAACAAGAAGTCCAGGGCATAATTGGTGAGGAGGAGGAGAGGGTGGGAGGAGAAGCGAGGAGGACGAGGAGGAGGAGGAGGACGAGGAGTAGGAGGATAAGAATTGGAAAGGGGATGGAAGGAGGAGGAGTGAGGAGGAGGAGGAGGAGGAGGAGGAGGAGGAGGACGGAAAAGCAGGAGAAGGTGGAGGAGGGAGGAGGTGGTAGGAGGAAGAGGAGGAGAGGAGGAGGAGCTGCAGGAGGGATGATGATGCTGATGATGATGATGATGATGATGATGAGGAGGAGGAGGAGGAGGAGGAGGAGGAGGATCCGCTGGGCCTCCCGGGGTGACCGTGACATGTCGCCGCCCCGAGCAGTCCCACGCGCCTGTTCGCGCAGTCAGCGCAGGCTGGGCGGACGGCTCGGCCGCGAGGGAGGTGGAAGAGGAGGAGGGGAGGACCAGCGCAGACCCAAGACTCGTCAACGATATTGCAAGAAACACTCCCTCCAAGTTCCCTCTTCAAAGGCCCCCTACAAGTATCCATTTTCACCGAATGAAGAGCCCCGTTGGAAAACAACAGTGAGAGAACCCTGAACTGTGTCAGAACACCATTCCCAGGACTTCAACGCTGTGAATCACCGTTACTGTTGCGTACTGATTATCCTGAGCCGCCCCAGAACACCATTCCTGGAACTTCAACAACACAAATCAACGTAACCGTTTGACCGGAAGAGTCCGACATCGTGCCAAAACATTTGTTTTGGGACGTTCACCATGAGAATGTGTTTAAATGTTGTAAGCTCTTATGACGAATGTGCGCGGCGCTCAGGCGAGAACCATATTTTGGAAAGCAACCGCCCTCCATCCGTGAAGATCTAGCATCTTTAAACGGGTGTGCGCGGCGCATAGGCGAGAGCCACAGTTTGAAAAGGAACTGGCTTCCATCCGTGACACTCTTGAGTTCGTGCAAGGCGAATGTGCGCGGCGGCAAGGCGAGAGCCACATTTTGAAGACGACCTGCCCTCCATCCGTGAATCTCTTACATTTTTGAAACGGATGTACGCGGCGCTGAGGCAAGAGCCACATTTTGATACATTTTGAGAACCACCCGCCCTCCATCCCTGGAGCTCTTGTACATATTTATAACAGATGTGCACGGCGCTGAGGCGAGAGCCACATATTGAAAAGCACCCGCCCTCCATCCGCGAAGTTGTTGCACATGTCGAGCTTCCGGATCATTTACATACTGATGAGGAAATCTCTGGCGAAACGCCTGGCCCGCCCTGTCGACCTGGAGTGTGACAGCGAAGTTACATAATTATAAGGAAATGGAAAACGGGAGCAGGAGGTGGAGAGGGGAGGAGGAGGACGAGGAGGAAGAGGAGGAATCGGAGGAGGGGTGTTGGAGGAGGGGGGGAAGGACGAGGAGGAGGAGGAGGTGGAGAGGAGAAGTGGTGGGAGGAGGAGGAGGAGGAGGAAGAGAGGAGGAGGAGGAAAGGAGGAGCGAGGGAAGGGGAAAGAAAGGCCCCCGAGGAGGAGGAGGAGGAGGATCCGCTCGGCCTCCGACGGCCGTCGATGGCACAGCGATGGGCCCCCGAGTGACCTTTGAGGGGCCCCCCGACGGCCTCCGAGCGCCTTCGCGACAGCCTCCGACGCGCCTCCGGGCAGCCTCCGAGCGCCTTCGCGACAGCCTCCGACGCGCCTCCGGGCGGCCTCCGAGCGCCTCCGCTGGCCCTCCGACGGGCCTCCGAGCGCGGGAGCAGAACGGGCGGTGCTGCCTCCCGAGAAGCTGTGGTGCTGCGGGGCCGAGGGCGTCGGCTGCACCGCGAGCGGAACGACCTCGGCCGCCACCACCACGGAGACGAGCGGCACCGGGGGGCGCGGGGAAAGCGGGGAGGAGGGCTCCTCTATCCTCCGGCCTCCCCCTCCTCCTGCTCCTCCTCCTCCTCCCTTCGGTTACGTTCGCGCTCTTTTTTCTCCTCCTCCTCCTCCTCCTCCTCCTCCTCCTCCTCCTCCTCCTCCTCCTCCTCCGCTTCCTCTTGCCCCTCCTCCTCCTCCTCCTCCTCCTCCTCCTTCTCCTCCTCCTCTTCCCCCTCCTACTCCTCCTCCTCCTTCTCCTCCTCCTCCTCCTCCTCCTCCTCTTCTCCTCCTCCTCCTCCTCCTTGCGCGCCGCCTCCTCCGCGAACACCTGCGACCCTGCTGTCCTGAGCCTTACACGCTAAGGAGGGTTGGGAAGAATATCTCACGAGCTCCCTCGGTGTCATTATTTGATGCCTGTAGGGGGGGAGGAGGACCAGGAGGAGGAGGAGGATGAGGAGGCTGTCGAGGTTGAGCGTGAGGGTGGATAATGATAATGATGATGATGATGATGATGATGATGATGATGATGATGATGATGATGATGATGATGATGATGGTGATGGTGATGGTGATGGTGATGGTGATGGTGATGATGATGATGCTATTGATGATGATGCTATTGATGCTGATGACGATGATGATGCTGATGATGCTGATGCTGATGCTGATGCTGCTGCTGATGATGCTGCTGATGCTGATGCTGATGCTGATGCTCGTGATCATGATCATGATCATGATCATGACGATGATGAGGAGGAGGAGGATGATGCTGCGAATGACGATGATGATGATGCTGATGTTGATGATGATGAGGATACTGATAATGTTGAAGATTGTGATGACGAGTATGCTGATGATGGTGGTGATGATAATGATGATGACGATGATGATGATGACGATGGTGATGATGATGCTGATGCTGACGCTGATGCTGATGATGATGATGATGATTGTGTTGATGATACTGGTGATGGTGGTGATGATAACGATCATGATGCTACTGTTGCTGCTGATGGTGATGATGATTGATGGTGAGTTTGATTAGGATGATGGTGGTGGTGATGGTGATGCTGGTTACGATGCTGATGTTGATGTTGATGATGGTGATGATGCTGTTGATGATGACGACGATTGTGGCGATTATGATGGTGATGGTGATGACGATGACGATTGGTTGTGATGATGATGATGATGATGATGATGATGATGAGTATGATGATAAGTGTGATGGTGGTGGTGATGATGATGTTGCTGCTGATCCTGAGGATGATGATGACGATGATGGTGGTCATGATTGCGATACTGATATTGTTGTTGTTATTGGTTTGTTATTGTTGATGATGATGATGATGATGATGATGATGATGATGATGATGATGATGATGATGATGATGATGATGATGATGATGATGATGATGATGATGATGATGATGATGATGATGATGATGATGATTGATGATGATGATGATGATGATATGATGATGATGCTGATGATGATGATGATGATGATGATGATGATGATGATGATGATGATGATGATGATGATGATGATGATGATGATGATGATGATGGTGGTGGTGGTGATGATGATGATGATGATGGTGGTGGTGGTGGTGATGGTGATGGTAATGGTGATGGTGATGGTGATGGTGATGGTGATGGTGATGGTGATGGGGGTGGTGGTGATGAAGACTACTGTCAGGAACCTGTGCTTAGCGTATCGCTGCGGCGGCCCTGGCGGCACGCCATGCCCTGCAAACCGATAGCGTGTCGCTCCGCTCCGCGAGGCGGGAGGCTTGGAAGCGCTCGGGGCGTTGACGGCTGGGAGCTGGAAAATGGTTAGCGTGTCGCGGCGAAGCGTGGTGGGCCAGAACTGGCTGCGCGACGCGCTAAGCAAACGCTCCCGACCGTATGACGACGAGGACAGCCACGACGACGACGACGACGACGACGACGACGACGACGACGACGACGACGACGACGACGACGACGACCTCTGCCCGCACCGAGGGCGATCTAGACTCCGAGCGCACGCCTCGGGAGCCGAACGGGTTCGGACAGCGGCCGGGGCTGGCAGCACCGACTGGCCTCGGTTTCGGGAACGCGCAGCGCGCCGTGCGTCGTGGCTCCTCCTCCTCCTCCTCTCCCTCCTCCCCCTCCTCCTCCTCCTCCTCCTCCTCCTCCTCCTCCTCCTCCTCCTCCTCCACCCCTTCCTCCACCTCCTCCACCTCCTCGAACTCCTCCTCCTCCTCCTCGTCCTCCTCCTCCTCCTCCACCTCCTCCTCCACCTCCTCGATCTCCTCGTCCTCCTCCTCCTCCTCCTCCTCCTCCTCCTCCTCCTCCTGTTGATGGGCGTCTGCGGGGAAGCACGGAGAGCTCTGGCCTCGGACGCGCGGCGCCTCAGGAAGGCCGCAGGGCGCGCAGCAGGCGCGACGGCATCGGCACACGCCGCCACGGTGGCGGCGGGCGTGCCGAGCTTACGCTCAAGTCGGGCCTGTCCCTCTATACAGTCGGGGTGCTGAGGAAGGAACCCTTTTCGTTGGGGAGGGGCTCGGTGTTCCTCAGTTGTTTTGCAGTTCGCCTTTGGTTTTGCTTAGGGCTTCGATGGGAAATCGAAGTTAAGCTTGTGGGAAAAAGAGGCCTCGTTCCTTATTTAGGGGTTCCTTTGGTCAACGCCCCTTCTGTAGGGAGGAATATTCAAAGATAGTCAAAGAAACACTCCGGGAACGATTTTTTTACGATTTGTGATGGCCAGTTGGGGGCATTTTGGGAACACTTTTTTCGCTTTCGCCCAAGATCCGCCTGTAGGAAGACAGGCCCGACCCAAGCTTACGCCGCAGGCCGAAACCGAGAAGCGGGCATAGCCCGCAGGGATCGGACAGGGCCATTCTTCGGCAGCATACCATGGGAGCCTGGTATACTTCCGTCTTTAGCGTCGACTAGCGTCGATTATCGTCTGGGGGTCGATGAGAGAGCGCCGGTTTAGCGTCGGCTAGCGTCGATTAGCCTCGATTTAGCGTCGATCAGCGTCGATTTAGCGTCGATTTAGCGTCGACTAGCGCCGATTTAGCGTCGATTCGCAAGAGCCGACAAAATGGTATCGGAGGCTCCCATGAGTTGCCACCGAGCCATTCACTCTTGGAGGTGGCCACGGGTCTGAACTGGATGGCCCTCGAGAAAATCCGTGAAGGAGGGGGGATGGAGGCAGACCCGCTCAAAAGCGGTCCGCGGACCCCCCGGACCCCTCCTGCCCTGACTCCGGATCCGCCCTACTTTGGGGAAATTCGTAAGTAGGGCTTGGAATTTCCGCCATACTTTTCAAGCCCCGCTGATGCCAATTTCCGCCCTACTTTTCTGTTGCCGTTTCCGCCCTACCTCTGTGGATTTCCGCCCTACTTTATATGTTGGGTGCAGCAATTCCCGCCCTGCTTTTTCGGCTTCTTCTAGGTGGATTTCCGACGCAATTTTGAACGGGAAAAAAGCCAAAGTACACCTTAGGCGATGCTTAAGAAAACCCAAGTTTTCGGCCAGAGTCTCGATTATTCTTAACGTTTCAGTGTAAACCTTAAGATTTTGATAGGAATGTTGGGTCTTTACTCAAGTTCTGAGACTATGAATTTTTTAACCCATGATTTCTTAAGCATTTCGCGGGGTGTAGGGCGGATCTGGAGTCAGGGCGGGGCCCACCCGGTGCGGTTTCTCACCCCGGATATCGGTGCCTGGCGGCCCGAGAACGCGGGCCCGACACAGCGGCCCCCGGAGGCCGGAAACGGCAGAGAACTTATGCCCAAGCCCAGAGCCTCGAGCCTCGCCCTGCAGCCACGCGCAGAGGGTCACCACCCACCAAACCACCCCAACCCAACCCGAAGGCTCAGATTTACCCTCGATTTCCAGTGGGGGGGGGGTCGGGAAACATCGAAAAAACACATGTGGAACCCTTACCCCCCCCAACCCGAAATTAGGGTCTTCGGGTTGGGTTGGGGTGGTCTGGTAGGTAGTCAGAGGGGGGTGGGGGGAGGGGGGAGGGCCTCTTGGAAGCGCCCCTGCTTCTTAGAGGGCGCGGCCCTCATCTGTAGATGTAGGGCCGGGGCGCCCTCTAAGAAGCAGCCTCCTTCCAAGGAGCCCCCCCCCCCCCCCCCCCCGCCCCCCTCGTGCGCGCCGCCGAGCCCTCACCAGAACCAGCGCGGAGCCACCTCAGGCTCCCCTCATTTCCTCCTCCTCGTCGTCCTCATCCTCGCCGCCCTCGTCCTCGTCGTGGTCGTCCTCGCCCTCCTCCTCCTCCTCCTCCTCCTCCTCCTCCTCCTCCTCCTCCTCCTCCTCCTCCTCCTCCTCCTCCTCCCCCCCCAGCCGGTGTTTCACGCGCTCCCTCGCTGCTCCGCCCCTCCACCGCCGGGGCGACGGGGCGCGCAGGCGCGGCCCGGGTCGTCGGCACGTCGCGCTGCCTCTGTCCCGTCGGCTCTGGCCGTGGGCTTCGGTCGCGCCTGAGATCGGAGGGCACCAAGTATACACCAACACCGATCCTGGCCCAGGATCGCCCTGGGCCCAGGATCGGTGTATATGCCTTCTTGCGCAAGGCAGGAGGGCGTATACACCGATCCTGGGCCCAGGGTGATCCTGGCCAGGATCGGTGTTGGTGTATAGTTGGTGCCTTCATATGAGAAGCTCGCGCGGGACCGGGCAGGTCCTGCACAACGCTCGCGCTATCACGTGGAATGCCGAACATGGCCGGCGTCACCCCAACATACTTGTTTTATATGTGCGTCGCCCCCGCAGGGGCGACGCGCGCACCGAGACATCTTATAGTACATGCGTCGTGGCGGGCGCTTTCTGGCCACCCCGCTCGGGAAACGATATACTACACGATGGGTATACTACATGCTCGGGCCGGACGCGCGCCTCCGAGGAGGACATCTAGTATGACTGTGTCTCTGCGCGTCCCATGTGGCACCCACGTCGAGCCTCGGCCACGAGTGAGCTCCCCGACCCAGGCCGAACGGCCCGCAAGCCGGAGCCCCTCCTGGGCCCCAAAAGGGGTTCCCCCCTCCTCCTCCTCCTCCTCCTCCTCCTCCTCCGTAGCCATTTTGGCTCAAGACTTCATGCTTTGGTGGGCTGAGCCCACTGGCATTCGACGGATACCGCTGTCACCGCGGCTGCTTTCATCTTCTCCGCCTGGTTCTCCCCAGGTGCGGAGCTCTGCTTCAGTCAGCAGGGCCGTCTGCTCATGGGCCGCCATGGTGGCAGCAAAGGCGCGGGCGGTGCGTGTGGCAAAGGCAAAAACAAGTCGGGCTCGTACGTCAGCCGCTCGGCGTACCGCTATCGGTGGAACTTCAAGTCGAACCACTGGTGCTACCAGTGCTGTGCGCCGATGGTGCCGAACCCGTCGCCCGACAAGAAGCCCCTGGGCCAGTGGTCGCTCGGCCCGCCCATGCTCGCGTCGAACCCGTTCGACACCGCCGCTGCGGCTGCGCCGCCCGCGGGAGGCCAGGCCAAGGGCCCTCCTGTGCCGCCGAAGGGTGCCAAGGGGGCGCCGCGGGATCGCCGCCCATGGGTCTGGCACGGGCTTGGCTGGTACCCGTACGGCGGTGGGCCGACCCCAGATCAGACGCTTGATGCACCGCCGCCGTCCGACCCCCTCGCGCTGCTGCGAGAGCAGTTGGGCGACTGCGCGGAGATCTCGGCCGTCTCTGCCAAGCTGGCCGCCAAGCAGCAGCTTGTCGAGGCTCCGCGCCGCCCGCCCCTCTCGGAGGAGGAGGTCTCCGCGAAGGGGATCGCCTGCAGGCGCGCGCAGGCCTGGCTCGAGACCTGTGCCGCCCGCGCCCTTGAGGGCGAGGCCTGGCTGGCCGATGCCAAGGCGGCAGAGGACGCTGCGGCCGAGGCTGCGCACCAGGCTCGGCAGGACTGGGAGGCGGCCTGTGCCAAGCAGCTGCCGTCGCAGTCGACGCCTCAGGGCGAGGCGGCATCCGCTGCTACGGCCATCAACCTCTCGACGCTCGTCGACGAAGGTTCGCTGCGCATCGTCGACGGCCCCCTCTTCGACCTGGAGGGCCTCGAGGTCGACGAGACCGAGCGCACCGAGTGGGCCCGCATCAAGGGCGAGCTCGCCACCAGCGTGCAAGCCAAGGTGCAGGAGGCCTCGGGGCCCGCCGCCCAGCAGATCTCCAAGTTGCGAGGGGAGGCCCAGGCCCTCCACGCCAGATTGCAGGCCAAGAGGCGTCGCGGCTCTGATGGGGCCCCGGCCTCGGGAGGCCCTGCGGAGCCTGTGGCTTCTGCTGCTGGCGCCTCTGCTGCTGGCGGCATCGCTGCTGCTGCGGCGCGGGGCGGTGGCGAGCGCAGCAGTGCTGAGGCCCTTCCAGCCGCTGCCAGGGCCAAGGCCAGTGCTGCCGCTGATGAGAGGAAGCGGGACACGCAAGGGGTTTAGCCTCCGCGAGGCCCGGCCTGCCGCTGTTACGTACTGCGGCTTGCCGATCCCGTTCTACGGGGACATCTTCCTCTCGCAGGACGACGAGCGCGCGTTCTTCCCTGATTTGGAAGTCTACGGCCACTACAAGTTCAGCTCCTCTCAGAGCGCTGACGACTCTGAGGTTGACGACGGCGCGGTCCAGTGCAAGGATCAGGACCCTGCCAGGCGGGTGGCCATTCACAACAGACAGCTTCTTGAGAGGCGGCTGAGGTCTTTCACTGGCGCCTGGGTGCCTGACCCCAGCGTTATTGATGATGGTGCTGACCTGGCTGATTGGAAGCGTGCATGCATCCCTTGCGTGGCCAGTTTCCTGGCCCATCCTGCGCTGCGGCCTTTGGTGCAAGAGGCCGCCGACTCCGCAGGGCACGGCAACCTTGCGGTTACGCAGTGGGACATGGCGGCGCAGATTTGCGAACGAGCTTGGCGTGCTCGGCGTCGCCAGCGGCAGGCTTATCGAGATCACCTCAACAGCCTCCGCGACCTCGACTATGATGATTGGCAGGAGGAGCTGGCTCGCCACGCCCTGAGCTACATCGAGGCGCGCGAGGCGCTCGATACCAGGGCGCCGCAGATACGGGCGGCGACGCTCGCTGCTCCATCTGTGGTCTTGCCATTTCGTGGCAGGCCTTTCCTCTCCGCGTCTGTTCAGACGGAGGGGTCGGCTCACTTAGACCCCCCCACACCGACGCCCAGTGCGCGCGTGTGGATGTCTGACCAGGGCCGCCAGGCGGTACCGCCCCCCGCTCCTGGTCAGAGGTCTGGCTGCACTTCGTCATCGGCGCCCTTGTTCTCCTGCGCAGGCGAGGCGCGAGCCCCGGCGCAGATGCCCGCCCGGCCCCGTCAGGCGGCCGCGGCCCCTGCTGTCGAGCGGATGTCTGGCTGCACTTCGATTTCGGCGTCCTCCTCGGCCTCGGCACCTTGGGCTCCGAGAATTTCCACGGGTGGACCGTGTGCGGCGGCGTCTGCTTCAGCTTCGGGATCAGGCTGCCGACCCTCTGCTTTCGGGCGATGTGGGCAGTGGCCTTGCTGGCAGGGGCCGATCGGCTGGAGGAGGTGCTCCTACGCCTACGGGCGGCCCAGCGTTGTCTGCAGGTGGGGGCGACGGCAACTTCGCGAACGACGCTTCACCACAGCCGGCTTGCGTTGGCTTCGACTCGGCAGATCACGACCCCTTCGACGACCTGGGCGGCGTCCTCGACGACGCTGACGCCATGCAGCAGATGCAAGAGGAGCAGCAGCCTGCTACGGTCTCTACGGCTCCCAGCACGATGAATGCCACGGGCCCTGGCACTGCTGTTGAAGGCCCTGCCAGTCCTCACTCTGCCCGCATATGGTTCGCCAGTATCAGTGAATGGGGCCCCAAGGCTGTTTCATTTATGCGCGGGGCGGGTTCCCTGTTCGAGACTGTTGCCCTCGCTGAGACCCACGCCAAGCTCAGCGACATGGAGGCTGCCCGCGCGGATTTGATCAAGGACGGATGGAAGATGGTAGGGGCCCCTGCATCGGCCTCGGCGTCCTCACTCACAGGCTCCAGGGGCGGCGAGTGGATTGCGCACAGGCGGCGCATTGCTGCGACCTCGTGGGAGCGTTTTCGCCCAGCCAGACCGAGAGCTATTGAAGGGTTCCGCCCCAGCACTCTGCATCTTAAGCGCGGCAATGTGGTGCTGTTGTCGGCCAACCTCTTTCCTGGGCCCAAAACTGGTGGCATCAAAATTCCCCGCATTCGCTCCATCTGCAAGTTTGTCTGCTCCCTGGCTGATCCATGGATCATTTGTGCTGATTGGAATTTGGAGCCCGACGCGCTGTCCAAGAGCGGCCTGCTCGATATCTGGGACGGGGAGATTGTCACCCCCAGCGGATGCAGCGCTACCTGCACGCTTGGCAGTCGCCCCCTGATCGACTATTTGGTCGTCAAGAGGGGCTTTGCTGACCATCTTCGAGTCAAGCCCTTCACGTTGGTCCCGTGGAAGACCCACGTCGCCTTGGATATTGAGATCCTTTCGGGACACGCTGAGTGGTGGCATCGGGTGTTAGCCTCTCCCAGGGAGCTTCCTCTGCGGCCCAGGCCTAAGAAGGCCCCAGATCCTGACAGCAAGCGATCACGGCGCCGTGAGGAGGCTCGGGTCCGCAGGCGTAAACGGCTCAGTGCAGAACTGCAGGATGCCTTTGACGAGGTCAACCCTCCTGATGACGAGCCGCCTGCTGACGGTGCCGAGCAAGCCCCCTTTCACTTGGCTTCCGAGACTTGAGTCACCGCGGCCTCTGATGTTCGACCATGGGCGCGCGCCGTGTCGGACTCGCCGGCTTGGGCTTTCCCTTCTCGCGCTGAGGGTGGCGCCCAGAACGTCTCCCAGTCCTATCGCCGCTGGGCTTCTACCTTGGAACTGGCCATCTTGCGCACTGAAGGTGTTGAGCCTGACCAGCAGACCCAGTACATCGGCCGCGGCAATTTGCACGGCCTCACTTGGCGCAAGCTGCAGCCGTCCCCAGGGGGGACTCATATGCGCAATCCTGTTATGGAGTGTTGGTGGACTTTGTCGTCGTTGGTCACGCGTTATACCGCTCTTCGCCGTCGCGACAGGGACCCTGTGCAGCAAGACGCCCTTGCCAGCTCCATCTCCAGCCTGATTGACCAGGCCGAGGCCCAGCCGAGAGCCGTCTTGTTTGGCCCCAGAGAATATTCTGGAGTGGTTCGACTTGGCCTGCCCCATCTTCGGGCCGCCTCTGGATCTGGGAACCTTGGAGCGGATCTCTGAGGTCACTGAGAGTTGGCGCTCGCGCTCTTGGGGCACGGCCTTAGTGTCCTCGGGCGCCGCCTACGTCAAGTGGGCCAGGGGCTGCTGGCGCTCCAAGCCATCGGTTGTCCATCGGCACGCTCGCGACCCCCAGCGGCCTGCTGCGCTGGAAGTCCCCGGCGTTGGGCCTGAGGAGGCCACTGGCGACCCTGTCCGCCTTATGGAGCACAAGCTGCAGGCGTGGCGGACTCTCTGGGCGGATCCGCATGCGTCGCGCGATGATCTGTGCAATGGCATGCACTTGTTGCTCCAGCGTGCCCGTGCCCACCCCATTTGCGAGCTCGGGGACGAGGACATCATGAGAGTTGTCTCCAGGATGGCGCCCAACAAGGCCCGAGGTGTGGACGTCCTCAGCCCCGTCGACATCCAGAGGTTGCCGACCGAGGGCCAGCAGCAGTTCGGCGACGTGCTGCGCGAGGCTGAGCGGGTCGGCTGGTGGCCCGTCCAACTCTTGCTGGCCGTGGGAGCGACCATCCCAAAACCGTCAGGATGCGATCGAGTCATCGGGGTTTTGCCGGCCTGCATGGGAGTTTGGTCGAGAGCTCGGGCCCCGATCACGGACCAGTGGTCTCAGGACCTCGGTGAGTTCTGGGACACGGCGATCCGAGGTTCTTTTGCTCTCAGAGCGGCCTTGCAGAGGGCCATTTTCGATGGGTCCTCCTTCCAGCTTGGATTCACCTCGGCCTCCCTCCTGCTCGACCTTGAAAGATTTTATGATCACGTCAGCATGTTTTTACTGATGCGCGTGTCGGTCGATCAGGGATTCCCCTCGATTGTCACACTCTTGGAAGTGCAGATGTTTCTTGCTCCCAGGATCCTTCGGTCCAGGAGCACCGCTTCTGATTTAACCTTCCCTGCGCGCTCTATTGTGGCAGGCTCTGCGCACGGTGTCAAACTCGCCAAGGTTTTCCTAGGTCCGGTTTTGTCGGCTGCTCATGCGGCCTCGGGGGTCCGTGCTCTGGTCTCCTCCGCGGGCCTCTGGACCTTTGTTGACGACGCAGTCGCGCGTGCGGATGGGCACCGAGGAGAGTGTTATCGCTCAGATTTCCACGGTTGGCCAGTCCTTCGCCCGATCGTTTGCCTTGCATCAGCTGCCTGCGTCGTCCAAGACCAAGGTTATTGTATCCTCTCCGTAGGTTGGAAAGCGTATTGTGGCCAACCTGCGAGAGGCAGGCATTCCAGCCTCCCTGGCGGTCCAGGCTGTTGACCTTGGGTGCGACGCGGGTGGAGGGGCTCGTCGGGCGGTGGCGAAGCTGACGGACCGCCAGAGGAAGGCCCGTCCTCGTGCACAGCGCATTCGCCGTCTGCGCCGTCACGCCAAGGCGGCGAAAGTGTCTCAGGGGCTCTGGCTTCAGGGTGCGCTCCCCGGGCCGTTTACGGCCATCAGGCCATGGGCCTTTCCCCTTCCTCGGTTCTCGCCTTGAGGCGTCAGGCGTCCCAGTCGGTTGCCAGTAAAGGTCCAGGCCGATGTCTTACCACGGTGCTCTCTCTCTCTCTCTCTCTCTCTCTCTCTCTCTCTCTCTCTCTCTCTCTCTTTTATGGTGAACGCGAGCCCTTCATTGCTTTGAGGGCTCAGGTTTTACACGCGTGGTTTGACATGTGGAACCGCTTCCCAGAGACGCACGCCCGCATCACCCGTTCTTGGCGTCGCATTCGGGGCCGGCTTGACCTTATGGCCTCGAAACGCTGGCGCCCTGTGCGGGGCCCGATCGGTGCTGTCGTCGCCACGTTGCTGGATGTTGGTTGGAGGCCCGTGTCCCCCGTCGAGTGGCACAGGCCCGTCGGCGACCAATATGAGGTTTGGCAGTTTCCAGATCGTGACGACATTGAGCGTCTCGAGGGCGACTTTGATGTCGCTGAGCTTGTTGCCGATTCCAAGGAGGATCTGAATGCTGCGCTGTGGGGCCAGGCCTCGCCCCACCCTCACGGTGACGACCTTGCCGAGGGGGCTGACCTCCAACCCTTGCGCCAGGAGATTCGGCGTCTTGAGCAGCGGGATCAGCATGAGCAGGTTGGTCTTCTCACGGCTGTGTCGTTTCGGGGGGCCAGTGGACCCGTGTCCGCCAGCATGAGGCGGGGTACGCTGTGTCCACGACCTGCCCCCGTTGTGGCCTAGCTCCCGAATCTCTCTTTCACCGAATTTGGGAATGTCCCCAGAATTGTAAGCATGATGCTTTCGATCGTTCGTACGGCCTTTGTCATCAGTCCCGTTTTGGCCACGAGGCTAACCCAGCCGTGTGGCTTCGAGGCATCCCTCCCAGGTCTTTAACTTGCCCTGTGTTCAAGGATGGGGGGCGGACGCGTCGTCGTCGTCGTCGATCGTCGAAGGAGCCGCGGTCGCTGCGGCCAGGTCCCACTCTGTGCTCCTGCGGGTCTTTGGAGGCGGCTCTGGAGGAGCTTTCAGCCCCGACCCACGCCGCCGACGCGTCGGCGCTGCTGCCGTCCTGGTGGCTTGGGATGGCGCCAAGTGGTCCCGCCTTAAGGGTTGGGCCTCCACCGTGACTGGCCGCCGTCAGACTGTCCCCAGAGCTGAGTTGTTGGCCTTTGAGTTGGCGCTCCTCAGTGTTCCAGGTGATTTTGAGTATGTCACCGACCACCAGCCCCTTTTAGATGGGGGGCGGCGGCGCCGTTTCATCCACAGCAACGGTGTGAATTCGGATTTATAGTTTCGTATCCGCTTGGCCCTAATGGGCCGCGAGGACGGGATGTCTGTTTTGTGGGCCCCCTCCCACTTGGATCCCCCCGACCCCTCCTTGTCGGAGGACCTGGTCCTCCTCGCGTC